CCTTCATATTTACTATGCAGGACCCTTCATATTTACTATGCAGGACCTCTTTTTTTTCTTTGTTCTGTCTGTATGGCTGGTACCCACATGGACCATGATGACTGAACCCCTCCCCACTGCATATTCCCCTCCAGTCCTGAGCCAATGACCCAAACAATGGTACTGGGCAGGCACTATAACTTTATACTTTAGGGACATCCTTGCATGGCTTATTAAACAGTTGGAGAGTCCCTTTGGGAGGAACCACATGATACGTAGTGCAAGGAGGTTCCCAGTTGTTGTTGGGGGTAGAATTATAACAACTTCACACACACTACCCTATATCGGAGGCAGAGAGTGATGGGTGACAGAAGTGGAAGTGATGTTCTCTTCCTCTAGCGAGCACAAAAATACACAATACACTTTAGTTTGTATCATTGCTGTGTGTGTTGAAGTGTAAAATGCTTTAGTCAGTAGGGAGCTCATGTTGGGAAATCCCAGGCAGGGTCCTTATGAGAGGATCGTGGGTATAAGCATTAGACCTGAATCTGCAAAGTATTGTGCACAAGTAGCTAAATTGAAGAATATTGAAGTGGGGAAAAATATTCCAGAGTTTATTTTACCTTCGTGCTCCCCGAGCCCTTAATCAGTTTAGGATTACTGATGGCAAGAGGAGTTTGCCATCCCATCTGCCGGATATGTTGGGCATGGCAGCTGCCATTCGTGTTAGACAGTATTTCACCCTGACTCCACATGCTTCTAATTGCTTTTAACCTGAAGTGCACTGCGATACTTGGAGAATGTTTGTTCATTTTCCTTAATTAAATTAGTCTTTTCTATACGTGTTCCCTGCAGGAATTGTACCAACGATGTGAGAAGATGAGGCCCACACTATTCAGACTGGCCAGTGACACTGAAGATAATGATGAAGCACTGGGTAAATTAATTGAGTAAACCTATTTAAATTTTATTTACCATGTGCATTACTGAATAGTTAATTCTGTTACTTCTAGTTCACCAAATATCCAGCTATATGAAACAGCTATAATTATTCTGCTAAAATGAACTGTTACACCATGCAGATGTGATGCATGTGGGAGAAATGAGCTGGCTGTATGTAGGTGAAAATTCTTTTCTGTGTTTACGTACATGCAACATTTTTTTCTTTGTAAAGGGAAAGCAAGAAAATTGTCTTCTAACTAACCACACTTTGTTCAAATTAGACTTTGTGGCAGTGGAGAAACTGGCCATTATAAGGACCTATTAGCTTTTTATGGCATTGTGCAAACAAAGTGCACGTCATATGTGCACAGAGTACAGCAAATGTCACTCGTAAGTTAAAGAAAACAAACTGCTGGATTGTGCATGAAGCTGTTCAAATGGCCAGCATTATTTTAGAAACTGTTTCCAATGGCAACCACCTTTGGTATTTCTGGCATTTTCTCCTTGTGAGTCATCTTATTTTTATGGACTTGGCCTTCCATACCCACTAGGTTTCTAACCTTCAATAGATGCTGGATGACCCTATGACCCCTCGGGAGGTATGAACTGCAGGAAGTTAAAGAACAGCAGCTGCTGTAAGTGAACAGGTTGTGTTTAAAAAGTAAACTTTTTAGTTTACAAGCTCATTTCCAACTTTGTTTTATTTTTGCCTCAGCTGAAATCCTTCAAGCAAATGATAACTTAACACAGGTCATTAACTTATATAAGAAGGTAGTGAAAGGGGAAGAAGTTAATGGGGTGACTGACCTGCCAAACATTAAAGGTATGTAATGTTATTTTGTACATTTCCTTTGACATGTAGTGCCAGATGCAAACCTCCCAAATGTATCAGACAGTATCACATTCAACTGTGTGTGTGTTATCTCATCTTTATCAGCTTGTAGTGTGCAGCCTGCAATATTACTTGCATTTATGAAGCACTTTGTCTCTTCTCAAAGAGGATCTTCCCTGGACAAACTCTTGAGGGTACTTTAATTATTGCGCAGTTACTTGGTGGCCATCCTGAGTCAGAAATATCCCACGAGCAGCAACAACATGAAAGCCAAATAATTTGTTCTCCGTATCTTTGGCTGAGAGAACTTTTTTTTAATATTCATACACAGGATATGGGCATCACTGGCTAGGCCAGCATTCATTGTCCATCCCTAATTGCCCCGAGGGCAATTAAGGAAGTCACACTGCTGTGGGTCTGGAGTCATATGTAGCCCAGACCAGGTGAGGATGGCAGATTTCCTTCTCTGAAGTACATTAGTGAATCAGGTGGATTTCTTTTTTCCTGACAATCAACACTGGTTACATGGTTATCTTTAGTCTATTAATTCCAAATTTTTAATTGGGTCCAAATTCCCCAGCTGCCATGATGGGATTCGAACTCAGGTCCCCGGATCATTACCGGAGTCTCTGGATTAATAGTGAAGCGATAATGCCGTTAGGCTGGAAGAAATCTCTTCCTCTTTCCCAAGGATTCTTTTACAGCATATCTGAACGAGTAGAATAGTTCCTACTTGGGTCAGTTGGTTGGATGGATGGTTTGTGACATCAGCAGCATGGTTTCAATTCCTGTCCTGGCTAAAGTCACTGTGAAGGCCCTGCCTTCTCAATCTCTACTAAGGTGTGGTGACATTCAGGCTAAAACTTGCCAGAAAGTTATCTCTCTGTAATGAGAGCTGATATCTCGTCTGAAAAATGATGCAGCTGTTCCTTACACATTCACAAACTTAAAAACCTCTTTTGTGAGATTAAATATGAGTTTGGGACTTGAACACCCAACTTCTGGGCTAGAGGTCAGAGCACAGTCAGCTGAGTCATCGTTGATGCTTCTGTATGGTAGCAACATGACTTCATATCTGCTCATTTCCTGGACTCAATGATGTTGAGGAGAAGCCAACTTGCCTCCAAACAACTGAGTTAAGACTCTGCCTAATCTGATATGATCTATGTGCAGTGCATATGGACAGAAACTGATGAGGGTGCAAGATTGAGGGAAACTGCAAATGAGAAAACAAATTTGGACAGCCTTGGTTCAGTTCTTGGGAGCCTGAGGTTCGATGTCTAAATTGCCCGCATTTCTGCATCACACCACTCTCTCTGGACTCTTTAATAATGGTTAGTTTAGAAATGCTGGTGTTTCACTGGTGTAGTTGAATCAATTTTTGGAGATTTCAGTCAAACTGCATATTTGGTTAGAATAGAAGAACTTTAAGTCTGAGGTTAACCAATCCTGAATGATTAATTGCATTTATCTAGTGCCATCAAATTGTGACAATTATTTTGTAAGCTTTCTGAGTGCAGCTTATAGCATACAGTAATTGGGTTTTCCAGTATTTCGCAAGTACATTATGTGGACAGTCTAGAGTTAGTCTGTTACCAATTCATTAACATCAAGAATTGACAACTGTGGATTAATCCATTGACTGCTCGGTCAATACACCATTATGTTTGAAAAAGTATTCAGCCAAAGGGAGGGAGCAGAGGCACATTGTGGAGTAGCCTAATCTCCAATCATTGCTCAGTAGTTCCCAGTGACAGTACAGTACAACTGAAATGTCCTGTCTGTTTGGAGCTTATTCATCCTTCTACGCCAAAACAAAAGCTATGCATATGAATGAGGGAAGAATAATTTATTTTGTTTCGTTTCTCAAATAAATTTAAACTAATTGATAACTAAATTGTCTTCATAGTGGAGGTCTTTTTTTTTCTTTTTAAATATAGCTCAGAAGATCCAAGAAGATTTACATGCTTTGTGATTTAATGTGCTGTTAACTTTTTTTTCGTTATTTAGCCAGCAGTTCTGCTCTACTAGACCTGACCGGGTTGGACACTGGCTCAAACACTCCTTCCTACCCTGCTGTCCCTGCCAGTCGGACCTGGAATCCTGATCTGGCACAAGATCTAAGCAGCTCTGTATCGTTACTAGACGATGAATTAATGTCATTAGGTGAGAATTATTTTTGCATGCTTCTCTCCAAACATGACATTTAATACCCCTTGGTAGCGTAAAATTCTACTAATTGTAGTTTCAGCATATCTGCTGCTGAAACCCTTCTCCGTGCCTTTATCACTTCCAGACTTGACTATTCCACGGGTCTCCTGATCTCTTCCACCTTAAACCTAAGCTCATGTAAAACTCAGCTGCCCCTATCTAGCTTGTTTCAAGTCTCGCTCACCAGTCATCCCTCCTGCTTGCTGACTTAAATTGACTCCTGGCTCAAAATTAATATGTGAGAACTTTTTCAAATCCTGCATGGTTTCGTTCCCCCTCCCAACCTGTAACCACTTCTAGTCTACAATATGTGAGCTTTCTTTTTCTTCAATTCTGACCTATGATCTACCACCTCATAATTTTAACTGTTCTACCATTGGTGATCATGTTCTTAGCTGCCTAGCCCTAAACTTTCAGTACCTTGTCTTGTATATCGTGTTCAAATTTTATTTAGTTATGCACTTTTGGAATGTCTTTTACTAGTTAAACGTGCTATATAAATGCAAGTTGTTTTTTTTTGCTGGTATGGTGTATGGGTTTGGCTTGATTCTAGAGAGTTTACATTGTCCAAGATGTCGTGCATTGGTGTTCAACTAAGCTACTACTGCACTGTTGTAAGAAAGTTTGAACTTTAGTGAAATAGTTGGATGTTCAAGTTCAGTAGTTCCAGATGCTCAGCTCCCATCAAAAAGTCCATGGCTTTGAGCCACTAAAGTATCTTGCCTTTCCAAACTTTCACTTGTCTCAGTTGTGAAAGTTTGGTTATTTTCCAGGTCTGGTGGTGAGCTGGTTGCTGAAAATTAGTAGGACATTTGAAGGAACTGACCATTTGTGGATTTGTCAATTTAGAAACTGGTTAATAAGACCTCAGCTCAAAACTGTCTCTGCTTGGTCTTTTAGAAAGTGGCTGGAACAATTTACAGTTGCCATGGAGGCAGATATAGACAATAAACCTGCAGGGAACATCTCATCCCTGAAATGTATTGCTATGTTAGAATCTTCTGCTATAATTCTCTCGTCTCTTTCACTTTGTAGGGCTGAATGATTTAGGTCCTAATGCAGCACCTTCATCACAGTCTGTTGAATCAAACTGGAATACATTTCAGGTAACAAAGTTCAGGATATGGATCTTGATATTGTCTTTGTGACATTGAACTTATCATGACAACATTTTATGGAGTCATTGTCATACAGTAAAGAAGAGGCTCTTTGGCCCAGTGTGCACCAATAAAGGCCACCACTGACTATTGTGACATTTCAAGTGCTGAATTTTGCACTTTATGAAACTTGAGTTTTCCCACCTGTATTGCCCTCCCAGAGCATTCCAGGCTCCTACCACCTGGGTGAAATAAATTTTCCTCAAATTCCCTTTAGGCCTTCACCTTAAAATTGTGCCCCCTCGTTATTGACCCTTCAACTAAAGAAACAAGTGGAAGCAACTTGCCTTCTGAAGGTAAAGGAAAATAACCTTTCAGAATGATGGTTCTGAATAATGCTTATTCGCTGAATGGAAACAATTAATTGTCTATTGTGATAAGCCTAAATCTGTAAACTGATTACTGAAAAGTAAACTTGTGTTGGAAAAATTCGTCTTTACTTCACTACTGTATAAAAGGTTCCTGCTCCCCAAGTTCAATGCATTACAAGAAGGTTAATTTTCAGAATATTAGGAATGATTAATCTTCGTTATAGGAGACCTAATGACACAGTGGTTAGCATCCCCGTGTTTCAGCCAGTGCCTCCATGCTGAAGTTCAACTCCAGACCTTGACCACCATGGGAGATGCATTTAATACAGAGCCATTTGGTTGGGCATCAACATGTTAATCCTTCCAATATGCCCTCCAGTGGGCAGTTGGAGCGTGGAAGTCTCCTGGTCAGCCATACTTGATGTGGAGGGGTATCCCTCAAGCTACAGCCTCTGGTGACCTGTTCCAAGAAACCTGGTCATAAAACAAACAGGAACATGTGCTTTGTCTGCCTGTAGCATGGAAAGAAGAACAAATATCTTTCCCTAAATCTGAACTTCTGTTCTTCGTTAAACGTGAAAATAAAGAAAATAGGTAAAATAATTTTAGGAAGGTCCTTTTCAATATTTATATATTTAGAAACTGTAGTTTCAGTTGCCAAACCAAATTTACTATGGCTTAAACTTTAACCATTAGTGGTTTTTTAAAAAAAAAGATGAATAAGATAACGATTTTTGGCATGTGTGCTGTACAGCAGATTTTGTTGTGAAGTACATAAATTCCTTTGAATTTATGGCAGGCCTCATCTATGCTGATATTTAATACATCACACAAGTCCTGCCTCTGTGTGCTTAATTTTACTCTATCAGCATGACCTTTTACATCTATCTCCCTCACCTACTTAATCCAGCTTCCCCCTTAGGTATCTATGTAAGTTATCTCAGTTGTTCCAAGTTCTGCCTTCTGGATAAGGGAAGTTTATCTGAGTTCCAGTTAATGCTTCTAGTTTTGGACTTGCCCACAAGTGATATGATCTCCTCACCATCTCTCCTAATAAACTCCATTGTAAATTTCAAGACTTTGAGTAGGTCTCCTCTCTGTCTTCTCTTCCCTCTTCTAGAGAAATGTGCCCCAGCCTTTCCAACCTTGCCTGATGGTGCTAACCTCTCAATTCTAGGATAATTATTGTAAATTGTTTTTGAACCTTCTTCAGTACTTCCTATGTTTTTTGTTTTTGTATTGTATAAAAGACATACTCACTTTCCATAACAAAATCAAATGTTTTATTTATTCCCACTCCTCCCCCACTAGTCCTCTGAGTCTGAAGAGCTGAGTGGCCCCGTAACCTCAGCAGAATCCAGCGCATTGTCTTCTGAGTTGTTGAAGCCAGCAGCTTTGACAGCTGGCCAGCAAAATCCTGCCCCTGCCTGTGTGCCTGCCACCTCTGGGAGCAAAGCCTTGGATGACTTGGATATGTTGGGGAAAACCCTCCTTCAGCAGTCATTGCCTCCAGGATCTCAACAGGTCAAGTGGTAAGAGACTGAGGGCAATGGAATTGAAACAGCATTTTGAGCCGACATTGTCACTATAACTCGTCTGATTGTTCCCACCTCTGGCACAGAGCCATTACTTGTGGCATTGGGTTGCCAGCGGTTCTATTCTGGGATTAAGTACAGTCATATAGTATACAAACTTTCAAAAAAATATAACTTTAAAAGGTTACAACTTTTAGTGGAACAAAGTTCTCACAGTTAGAAGACAAGAAGAAGCATGAAATTAATTGTAAATTAACTTAAACGTTACTGGAAAGAGACAGAAAGTTGAAGCTTTTTTGCTTCATAGTCATCAGGACTGGGATGCGAGAAACCAAACTTTGCAGAGAACACAAATTTATAGAATCTGAGAGGAGGGTGATAATTGAGGGTTGGCATGGAGATGCAGCAGGAGCCATTTGTGGATTAACCTCAGATCAGGCATGTCAGCAGATTGGTCAGGGCATTCACATGCAGAATGCAGCAAGAATTTGTCGTCACCATAACACTTTTTTGTTAATAAAAAAAAGGTGGAAAGTATATACAAACTCTTTGCCCTCACAAAGTAGAATCCTCTGTGTGAACATGTGTAGCTCCTCGGGCATGCAAATGAAACTCACTGCAAATCCAACTGGCATTCTTTTTGGTTTCTTGAGCCCCAGTCCTGATGGGTGCAAGATGAAAATTTTTAACTTCATGTTCCTTTCTCCTTAAAGTTGAATGATTATAAAACAAGTTTTTTGACCTGAGGTAGGCAAAGGGCCACAGTATCCAGCTATAACATTTTCTTTCTATTATAATTTGCTTTACCGATAGGTCAGTTCCTCAGCAAAGGCAAACTCTTCGAGATCTCCAGAACAAATTGAACGCTAGCACTGCAGTTGCCTTGGGCACATCGCCACTTTATCCTGCTTCAAGCAAGAGCATCTCGCCAGTTTTAAGCACAGCTCTTTCTTCAGGCCTTGCCCTGCAACCTGATCAGCCTGCAGTGTTTGCAGGCAGCTCTACCGTTCCCACAGCTTCTACTGCACCATGCATAGGGCAGCCTGGTACGCAGCACAATGCACAAGGAGGCCTCAAAACCTCGCCCATGCCTCAGCAGGAAATTTCCCTCACTAATGTTTTAGTACCTCTAGAATCAATTAAACCAAGTGAGTATTAATTTGTATATGATATGTTTCTCTTGTTCTTCACCTAGATGGGGAGGCTGCAGTTTTTCTCCTTTTTATGGTAGAGAAGATTGAAGGGAATTCTGACCAAACTCTTCCCACTGGTGGGAGGGTCAATTCGCAGTGGACACAGATTTAAAATAATTGGTAGAGGGAGGGCACAAATTGTTTTTTACATTCAAGCTGTATTCTGGAATGCAGTGCCCAAAAAGACTGTGGAAACCAATTCAGCAATAATTTTCAAGATTATACTTGAAATGGAGCATTGATCAGGGCAACGGGACAGGGGAAGTGCATCGATTAAATAGCTGTTTTGAAGAGCCAATGCTAATGCAGAAGCCTGAAAATCTCCTGTGTTGTATGATTCTGGGATTATGAAATATCTTGGATTGGAAGTGTCCAATTCGCAAAGACTTTTTTTGGTGTTAATTTCATGAACTGGCATAACTGCATTTTGTATTAAGTACCACAAAGGTGAAGCGCTCTGAAGGCTGTTTTTTGTTGTCTGTGTGTGTCTTGGTGTTGGGATGGGGGAAGACCTCACTCAGGAGTTCAGTTCTATAGATGCTAGTAGATTTCCCAGCCACCTAGTGCCTTTTTTGACTGTGAAGGTTAGGCTTTTATACCACACAGATAATAGCAGAGCCGACATCTAGCTTCCACCATGGGCAGACAGACTCACGCACTAGCCTTCACAGAATCTCCCTCATTCACACGTCGTTCTTTCAATTCATTCATGGGATGAGGGCATCACTGTGTAGGCCAGCATTTATTGCTGATCCCTCATAGCCCAGAGCCAGCCAAATTGCCGTGGGTCTGGAGTCACTTGTTGGCCCAACCAGGTAAGGATGGCAGTTTCCTTCCCTAAAGGACATTAGTGAACCAGAGGGTTTTTTCCAGCTGTCGACACTGGATTTGTGGTCATCATTAGACTCTTAATTCCAGATTTTTTTTTTGTTCACTGAATTCAAATTCCACCATCTGCTGTGGCGGGATTTGAGCCTGGGTCTCTGGAATAGCAGTCCAGCAATAATTCCACTAGGCCATCGCTCCCCCTGCATGATGGCGCAAGATGAAGGGAGGGAGCCAGTGCCTGACCCACATTGGTTGGGGTGTTTGGTGCTGGATTAGAGGGCAGGGATGGATGGATGGTAAGTGCATGGCATTACTGAGTTGCTCACTGTATGGAGAGTGGCAGGTGTGTGAAATTACTGCTGCAGCATTTAATGATCAATAAATTTCACTTGACTTTCTTCTCCGTTTCTGCCACACAGGTAGCATCCTGCCAGTCACTGTATATGATAAGAATAGTTTTCGAGTTCTGTTTCATTTTGCGAAGGATCCTCCACCAGGACAGCCAGATGTTTTGGTGGTTGTCACTTCCATGATCAGTACGGCACCACAACCAGTGAAAAATATAAGATTCCAAGCTGCTGTTCCTAAGGTACAGTGGACCCCAGGGTCCTTCTTTATATTAGCTCCTTTCCAAATTCTTTGTGCAAGTTGTGTCATTTTTGCAATATTGAATTTTTAAAAAAAGATACAAATACTTCTCTCCTGATTGCACCAACTCTGTCTGACATGCATTCCTTGGCACCAGTTCACTAATACTCTCCCAAATGCTTTGTGTCTCATCCAACATCTTGAAATTTGCTACTGTGCTGTGAATGGCCATCATAAGTCATATTTACACAGTCCTCATTTTCCATTGGGGTTCTTTTAAACAGCGATCAGAAGTGGGATGCATGCTGATATTTTCCCTTGCTCTTCATCCCAAGGCGTCTAAGACTTAATTGTAATACTGTTTCTGCCACTTCAGCTGGCAGCATACATCAGGGACTGAATTTGGGATGTCTCTGATATGTAACTCACTTTCACTTTTTCTTATTCTTTCATGGGATGTGGGTATTGCTGGCAAGGCAAGCATTTGTTGTCCATCCTTAATTGTCCTTGAGCTGAATGGCTCGCTTGGCCATTTCAGAGGGCAGCTTGGAATCAACCACATGGGTCTGGAATCTGTAATAGACTGGATCGGTTGAACGTGGCAAATTTCCTTCCCTAAAAGGCATTAATGACCCAGATGAGTTATTCTGACAATCAACAATGGTTTCATGGTCCACATTTCCGAGAGGAATTCTGGATTTGTTGATTGAATTGAAATTCCACCAGCTGCTGTGGTAGGATTTAAACCAGTATTCCTAGGACACCCAAAACAAAATGCACTGGAGAAACTGAGCAGGTCTAGCAGCATCAGTGGAGGGGGAACTGCAGTTGATGTTTTTGGAGTCAAATGTGACTCTTTGGGGAGTCATGTTGGGCTTGAAACATTAACTCTGTTTCTTTCTCCACAAATGCTGCCAGACCTGCTGAGTTTCTGTTTTTCAGATTTGCAGCATCTGCAGTACCTAGAGTTGTTCCCAGATTATTAGCATGGGGCTGTGCATTAATACTTAAGTGGTATTACCTCTATGTCAGTGCATCCCCTAAAAGCATACAGCTGTTTGGTCAGAATCTTTTCCCCACCACAGAGAATGGGATTTCCTTCCAGCTTTCTGCTTCCATTGATAATTTACCATCTGCAGCATAGATACTGAGCATCCCATGTGTCTTTGAGTAAATTGGATCCCTTTGACCATCAGCTGCTGGAGGCAGGACACCCTGCCTTAGTGGAGTAGAAGACATGACAGCAGGGGCAAAAAAAACAATCATGACTTTCAAGGCGAGCAGTGGCGGGTCTGTGTAAAACCAAGCCTTTATTTCAAAGCTGTCGTAGAAACTGCTGAATCTTTTTTTAAAAAAGTGCACGAGAGTTCTTTTTTGTGGTCACTGGCTGCAGTTGCCATTTATAAACTTGTTTTAATTCATTCCTTATCAATTTAGAAATGCGGGAAGCAGACCACATACATACTTCAGTCTATTTTGATGGGTTGTTTTCTTTACCCAAGAATGGTTCATTGGCCTCACTCCAGAGGCTAGAGGTTGAGGGTCGCAGCTCTTATTGAGTATAGCTGACCAGGAGACCCTCGTGTTCTTACCACTCACTGTAAGTGTATTAGAAGGATTTACACATCAATAATCAACTTGTTTGGCCACACTGTGAATGCACCTCCCATGATTGTTAAATCCTGTAGAGAGTTTCAACCAGGTGCTTCTGATTCAAAGGCAAAGACATTACCAATTTCACCAGAGAACTTCCTTGTTTGCAAGCATTAACCTTGATTACACTGTCACCTGTAATTCATCCTCAGCCTTCCTTTTATCCTGTGGGTCTAATTTGATCATTTCATACTATCAATGGACAGCTCATTGTATATCAAGAATCTGAGCATGCATCTTGACTCGGACACTGCTGTTGGGAAGCACAGTGGCTCAGTGTTTAGTACTGCCGTCCCACAGCACTAAGTGCCTGGGTTCAATTCTATCCTCGGCCGACTGTCCGTGTGGAGTTTGCACGTTCTCCTTGTGTCTGTGTGGGTTTCCTCCGGGTGCTCCGGTTTCCTCCCGATGTCCAAAGATGTGCAGGTTAGGTGGATTAATCGTGCTAAGTTGCCCGTAGTGTCCAGGGGTGTGTAGGTTAGGTGGGTTAGCCATGGGAAATGCAGGGATAGGATAGGTTAGGAGCGGTGGATTTGGGTGGGATGCCCTTTGAATGGCCGGTGTGGACTCAATAGGCCAAATGGCTTGCTTCCACGCCGTAGGGATTCTATGACTTTAGCTCAATAGCAGTCTGAACCAAGAGGGAATATTGGAGATGAATACTGGAGTGCACAAAATATTTGGAGAAGCAGATAGCATTTGTTTTGTGAATGGAACATCATTAGATGAAGATGGAGTAAGGAAGGAAGTATGAAGCCTCAATCCAGGTTACTGTGAATGCGTGAAGTCCAGTAAATCAGATTGGGGAGTTACAGACACAGCTTGCCACATGGAAATGTGATGCGATATTGTGGTGAGTAAGAGACCTGGCTCAAGGAAGGGCAGGGCTGAATGCTGAATATTTCTGGGTGCAGCTGTTTATAAAAAATTAGAAAAGAGAAGGAGTGATGGTATTGGTTAAGGAGAGTATTGCAGTCCTGGAAGTGTCTGAGTGTTCAAAGAATCAATTTGGCTAGAGAACATAAAAGGTTGCAATTACATTGTATAAGACCATAAGAAATAGGAACAGGAGTAGGCCATTCGGCCTCTCGAGCTTGCTTCACCATTCAATAGGATCATAACTCATCCAACGTTCTTCACATCCACTTCGCTGCATTTTCCCTGTAACCCTGATTCCCCAACTGATCAAGATATCTATCTCGGTCTTAAATATGCACAAGGACTGTACCTCCACAGGTCTCTGTGGTAAGGAAATTCAAAGACACTCAACCCCGAGAAAAGAAATTCCTCTTCATTTTCTGAGTCTATGCCCTGTGGTCCTGGACTGTTCTATGAGGGGAAACGTCCTCTCAGCCTTTACCCTGTCAAGCCCCTTAAGCATCATATATATTTCAATGAGATCACCTCTCATTCTTCTAAAGTCCTGTGAGTAGAGGTCGCAACTGTCAACCTTTGCTCAAAGACAGCCCCTCTACGCCAGGCATCATCCCAGTGAACCTTCTGTTAACTGCCTCCAGTGCTTGGTGTATTTTTTAGATGATCAATGGGAATAACGTAGAGGAATATATGCAGGGAAATTAGAGAGATGTCACATTCTAGAGTAGGTATATCTACCTGAATATAGACTGGGACAGAAATGGCAAAGTGTTGAATGTTCCTGCATTGTGTCCAGCCCAACAAAAAAGGATTAGACCTGGTTCTTGGAAATGACATGGGGCAAGTACCTCAAATATCAATCTAGGAATATTTAGGAGACAATGATTTTTGTGACATAAGGTTTGGGGTGATAGAAAAGAAAAGTAGAATATTACAGCGCCGTACAGGCCCTTCAGCCCTCGATGTTGCACTGACCTGTGAAACCAATCTGAAGCCCATCTAACCTAAACTATTCCATTATCATCCATATGTTTATCCAATGACCATTTAAATGCCCTTAAAGTTGGCGAGTCTACTACTTTTGCAGGCAGGGCATTCCACGCCCTTACTACTCTGAGTAAAGAACCTACCTCTGACATCTGTCCTATATCTATCACCCCTCAATTTAAAGCTATGTCCCCTCGTGCTAGCCATCACCATCCGAGGAATAAGGCTCCCACTGTCCACCCTATCTAATCCTCTGATCATAATAGGAAATACAGAGTAAGAATAATTAATTGGGAGAGAGCTGGCTTTAATAGGGCAAGGACAGATCTGGACGGCATAGACTGGAACGAGAGGTTGGGAGAAGATTGGTAATAGAACAATGGGCTACCTTCAGAAAGGAGCTGGTTCAGTTATAGTCAAGGTATATTCCCTCAAAAGCGAAAAGGAGAGTAAACCATTCGAGTTCCCTGGATGGGAAAGCAGATAGAAATTAAAATAAAGGAAAAATATATGCTTATGGCTTGCCAGATAAAGTTCATTTAAGAACCAGGAGGAATTTAGAAGTTTCATAGAGGAGGTGGAAAAGCATATTAGAGAATCAAAGAAAGATTATGAAAAAGACAGACTGGTGGCCAACATAAAAGGGAATCCTAAACTTTTCAATTAGTGTATGAGTAATATGGTAAAAGAAGTAGGAGGACCAATTATACACCAAAACAGGGATTTACACAAGGGCAAGAGACATTACTGAAGTGTTTGAATTAATATTTTTGCATCTGTCTTTACAAAGGAATTAGCTGTTACCTAGGCCATGGTGAGAGAAGAGGAAACTCGATCACTAGAAGGGTTCAAAATTATGAGGAAGTATTGGGTAGACTGGAGGTGTTTAGTGTTGACAAGGCACCCAGACGAGATGCATTGAAGGAAGTGAGAGTGGAAATTACAGGGGCACTGACTGTAATCTTTGTCTACAGTAACCTCAAGAGAGGTGATAGAGGACTGGAGACCTGCAGATGTTATGCCCTTGTTCAAAAACAAGTTGTGAAAATAATCCCGATAAGTACAGGCCAGTCAGGCTTAGTTTAAGAGATGGGGAAGCTTCTAAAAACAATTAGTCAGAATAGAATTAGTCGTCACTCGGAAAATAACTGGGTTGACTCGAAGACCCAGCATGGATTTCTAAATGAGAAAATAATGTTTGGTTAATCTGCTGAAGTTATTTTTAAAGAGAAAGGGACAGTGAGTGTAATGCTGCTGAAGGGTGTATATGGACTTCAAAAGGTACTCGATACTATGCCACAGAACAGACTTGAGATAAATTGTAGCTCATGGAATAAAAGGGACAGAATCAACATGGATACCAAGTTGAGCTGAGTTATAGGAAACAGTAATGGTCGGTAGGTATTTTCCAGGCTGGAGGAGTGTTTGTAGTAGACTTCTGCTGAGTTAAGTAATGTTACCATAGCAAGAACTGCAGGTGCTGGAGTCAGGGGTAACACA